CGGCTCCGGCTGCCTGCGCCCTGCTCCGGCCCGCGCGCCGGCTGGGCTCGCACTGACCGCAGCTCCGGGTCCCCCTCACGTCACGCCGTTGCCAGGGATCGGGGAGAGGGAGAGGAGCGAGGGAGGAAGGAAAGGGCAACGCTGCCTGTCGGGAGATGTAGTTTCTGGGACACCGCTGGCGAGAAAGGGAGGGCGCCGGGTGCGCGTCGGAGGAGCCGGAGAGATGGCTCGGCCCTGGGGGCGGAGGGGGCAGCGAGGGCGCCGGGCACCGGCCACTTGGCGAGGCTGTGGTCACAGGACCTGGTACGTACGTCGGCGCAGGGGCGACGTCGTGGGGCGTGTCGACGGCGGACGACTGTGGTTGTCCGGAGGGACGTCTCTCCTCCTCCTCCACGCGAGCCCCGCGGAGTCGAGAGGCGCGGCTCCTCTCCGTGGCCTTCCCGGGGTCGGCCGCTGACTGACAGCTCTGGAAAAGGACACTCAGGTTGCAAGCGCTGGGCTGACTTGAGTCGGCTGCCCGCGCTCTACACCCCCCTCCTCCTCTCTTCCTTCCCCCCCTTCTCGTTATTCAGCTCCTTAGCCTGGACTGGCCTTGCGTTTGCAATCCTCCTTCACGATCGTGCCCAGGAGCACGATTCTCCCTTAATATTTATGGAAAGAGGTCGGAGGCTGGGGCAGGAGAATTGCCACGAGTTTCAGGCCAGCCTGGGCTACCTAGCCAGTTTTAGAGTAACCAGGTCTACACAGTGAGGCAAGCCACAGTCTTGTTTTGTTTGTGCTTTGAGGGCGCCTGGTCGGCCGGCAACTCACTTTGTAAGCCAGACTGGCTTGGGACCCTTGGGGGTCCGGTCTGCCTCAACCAACTCCAGAGGAAGGGTAAAGAGGGATGCAGGGGGATTACAGGCATGAGCCACAGGAGGGGATCGCTTTGGGGTGTTCGTTTTGAGACCTGACCTTGGTCTATCACCTGTGCTGACCTTGAACTCAGGAATCCTGCCACAGCTTCCCCGTTGCTGGGATTACCAACGCGAGCCACCACAACTGGCCAAAACTTTTAGAGAAAAGAACCATCGTTGTCTGGAAAAAACATGTACTCAGCGGAGAATGAGACATCACAGGCAAAGCCCAACATTTGTGAATACCCCTTGCTACTTCCCATGATTCAAGGAGAAAACAATTGCTCTTGATAAAAGTAAGAACAAGTGGGGGCCGGAGAGATGACTCAGAGGTTAAGAGCACTGGCTGCTCTTCCAGAGGACCGGGGTTCAATTCCCAGCAACCACATGGCAGCTCACGACTGTCTGTAACCCCAGTTCCAGGGGATCCAACACCTTCATACACAGACATACATGCAGTCAAAACACCAATGCACATACAATAAAAATAAATAAGTTATCTTTAAAAAAATTAATGTTCTGATTTATTAAAAATATATGGGCTGGAACAATCCGACTGCAACCCACAAAACCAGGGAGGCTACACAGCAGGGGGGACCCTAGGATGACTGTGGCTTAGAATAAGTTTTGGTTTTACTCAATCACTGGGCAAGCCTCAGTGCAACATTTCACTATTAGGATAAGAATTTACTGTATCAAGCTGATAATAGAAAATATATATATATATAGGCTGGGGCTGGGCCGTGGTGGCCTTTAATCCCAGCACTCAGGAGGCAGAGCCAGGTGGATCTCTCTGAGTTTAAGGCCAGCCTGGACTACAGAGAGAGATCCAGGACAGGCTCCAAAACTACACAGAGAAACCTTGTCTTGAAAAAAAATGGAGAGATGGCTAACTCAGAGGTCCTGAGTTCCCAGCAATCACATGGTGGCTCACAACCATATAGTGGGATCTAATGCCCTCTTCTGGAATACAGGCAGAACACTATAATATATATATTAAGAGCAAAGGAAAAAGAGAGAAGAGAAACTATAAATTAGAGACTAGACCTAGATGGGCACAAGAGCAAGCAAAATTCTCCCGTATGAGGCTGAATTCAAGGACACTGGGACTGTCACAGAGGAAGCCTTCTGTTGTATTAAAGCTCTCCACATTCATCCGAGCTTTGCCTGACCATCGAATGTGGGGAGGGAGAAGCCAGGCAATCAAAGCTACGTGGTGATGCAAGTCCATTGCTTTCACACAAGGAGGCCCTGGATTCCACCTCAGAGCCAAGGTGAGGCTGGCCGGATGGCTCAGTGGGTAACGGTGCTTGCTGCGAAGCCTGCTCTGAGTTCAATCCCCAGGACCCCCCATGGAAAGAACCTTCCCCCTGACCTACACACACTCAATAAAAAGTTCTTCTTTTAATGACCAAATGAATGATTTGTCTCTTTTCCTTTTGTTCCTTCTCTTCCACCTTCCTGGGGGGCTCCCCCAGACACAGAACGATTTCGTTTCTTCTCCCCTTCTGACACCTTTCCCTCTAAGCCTTCGGGGAGGGCCTGTAGGACAGCTACGGAACCTCCTTCCAGCTGACTGTGGTGTTCTGATGGCACATGACCTTGGAGGGCAGTTCGCTCTTTCCAGCTCCCCTCTCTGGTCTGGACCCACCTCCTCTGACGTATGCGACGGTGCCTTGCAGTGAGGAGTCCGGAGCATGTTGAGTAAAGGAGAGAAATTAACTGGGATGCACGGCTGAACTGTGACCTCATTAGCGCTTGGCCTTCACCGAGCTAACTGCTGCAGAATCCCTAAGGTCCAGTAGCCCTACAAAACCAATTTGCTTGCTGTTCCTCAACTAATTAAACAGCTAATTACTTCCGTTTAATCCTTGCCCAGTTCATTCCCTTTACCTCTTCTAGTGTCCCTGCCATTCTACACCAATAACTTCCTTCACCTGCTTCCTCCAGGAAGCCCCTCCTGACTGAACCCAGGGCGGTACTAACCCTGAATACTGACTTCCTATATTTTCCCATTGTTTCGTGTGTTTGTTATATTTTTCCAAGGTTGTAAACATTTCAAAAAGAGACACTTGCCATAACTTACAAGTCTCTTAAAAACACAAACAAAAACTTCTGTCTTGTTTGGTTTTGAGATGGGGTCTCACATAGCTCAGGCTTTCCTCAAACTCATAATGTAATCAAGGCTGGCCTTGAACTCCTCATATTCTTCCTAATGCTGATACAGACTTATGATACCATAGCTGGCTATAACTTCTTCATTGTTTGTTTTCAGACAAGTTCTCACTATATATTCCTGGCTGCCCTGGAACTTCCTATGTAGCCCAGGCTGGCCTCGAACCCCCAGAGATCTGTCTGCCTCTGCCTCCCAAGTGCTGGGGCTAAAGATGTGCCCACCACACTTCTAAAACTCTAAGTTTCTACCTACTGACCAGTTAGTATATTCTGAATCTTTGTTTGTGTTGTGGGGTAGCCCCCAGAGAAGACCGCTCAGGAAAGTCTTCATCAGCCAGCCGATGATGAACACAGGGTGTTCAGGATCCCAGCGTAGCCCCGAGTCTTTCTCAGGGTGAGCTTTTTAAGCACAAAAACCATATCCTGGTTGACATGCTTCAGTTAACAAGACCCATTAGCCAGAAGCGGAACTACAGAAGTCAGGCAGCGAGGCTAGCACAATGTGGGGACTTTCTCAGCACTGTGGAGGTGGATGGAGTAGCTCTTTGTTTCCTTTTTTTTGGGGGGGGGGCGGGTAAACTGTCTACCTACTGAATTTTGTGACCTGAATGGTATCTCTGTCATGGAGTCAGTTGTGCTAAGGTCTGGGGGCCTGTTACATTTCCCACTGTTCCATCATGGAGTTGGTTGTGCTAAGGTCTGGGGGTCTATTGTTACATCAGAAGAATGAACACCTGTCTAAAGAAAGACAAGGCAAGTTAGGCTTGGTTCTGAGCACCTGGGGTCTCAGAACTCAGGATGAACTGGAGGCCAGACAAGGCTACATAGTGAGTTTGAAGCCATCCTGGGCTACAGAGTAAGACATTGTCTTAGAGCAAGCAAAAAAAAACAAAAAAAAAACAAACAAAAAAGAAAGAAAGAAAGAAAGAAAGAAAGAAAGGAGAGGAAGGGAGGGAAGGAAGGGATGGGGAAGGGAGAGAGACAGTCTGGAGTTACCCAGTTTATCATTTTTAACTTCTTATGTGTATAGGCCGAATGTGTGTCTATGCGCATGCACGTGTGTGTGCTTGGTGCTCTCAGAGGCCAGAAGGGGACATTAGATGCTCAGATGGTTTTGAGCCTCTGTGCGGATACTGAGAATTGAACCCAGGTCCTCTGGAAAAGCAGCCAGTGCTCATAAATGCTGAAGCTCCACCTCCAACAATTTCTGTTTTTTTGAGACTGGGTCTTAGTAGTCCAAGCTGGCCTGAACTGTTCATGTCACCAAGGCTGACTTTGAACTCCTGACCCTCCTACCTCGACCTCCCAAGGGCTGGGATCACAGGTATGTGTCACCATGCCCAGCAAGTTCCCCTGTGTGTGTAGGAATGTAAGTTCCTCTCTGAACTTACCTGAAGTGGCACTGTTCCTAAATCGTTTCCTTTATTTCTTTACTGGGAAATCCTCTTTCTTGCTCTAACCTTTAGCCCCTCCTCTTTCCAGCTGCCCAGAGACTGAGTCCGGCTCTCTCTCTCCTTTACCTCCACTCTTGAGCCAGGCCTCAGCACATGACTCCAGCTCAACCCCTGCCTCCAATTCCTCAGGTTACTAAGAGCTATTTTGGGCAGCGGAGGGTGTGTATTGCTCTCCTCCTCTGGGTCATATCCTAGCTTAGCCCTTCCTGGAAGGGTCATCACACCCAATGGCCAAGCTAACATCCAGTGGCCAAGCATCCATGTGACCCTCAGCTAGGTTCAGTTTCTCTCTCCTCCCTCCTCCTCCTCAGATATAGAGAGCCTTTCCCAGATGTTGATTTTCTAGGCTTAGAAAACCAACTAACCAACACAGAGTAACAACAAAAACCAATACTTATGTGCTGGATGTGTGGCACATTTTTTTTTTCAACTTGTAATACTGTGGATCAAACCCAAGACTTCACACATGCTAGGCAAGCAGTCTATCCTTAAAAACAAAACAAAACCAACCAACCATTTTTACATTTATGTATTTACTTACTGATAGTGTGCACACAAAGCATTCGAACGTATATGTGTGTGCCACGGCCTGTGTGTAGTGGAGCAGCTTGCAGAAGTGGGTTCTTCTCTTCCACTGTGTGGGTTTCAGGGGTTAAACTCAGGTCATAAAATTTGATGACAAGAGCCTTTATCCACTGAGACATCTTGTCCACACCATCTTAACATTTAGTTCTAATCTCAACCCTCTTTTTCTTTTGTTAAGATCTGTTTTATTTTTATTTGTGTATATGTGTGTGGGCGGGGATGGGGAGGCACATGGGTGCCAGTGCCTGAGGTGGCCCAGAAGAGGGCATCGGATTCTTTGGAATTACAGGCAGTTGTGAGCCATCAGTGTGGGTACTGGGGACCAACTCTGGTCTTCTGCAAGAACAGTGGGTGCTCTTACTTGATAAAGTGGCTTTTCAGCTCTCTCAGCCCTCTTTTGATTCCCCCCACTCCAAGACAGGGTTTCTCTGTCTAACCACTGGCTGCCCAGGAACGCATTTTGTAGACCAGGCTGGCCTAGGACCTCACTAAGTTGCCCAGGCTGACCCTGAACTCAGTCTACAGCTCAGAGAGGACAACCCTGTGATACGCCTACCTCAGCCTCCTGAGTGGTTGGGATTGTAGGTGCACACTCCCACAACCAGTCCTGTGTGGCACTGAGGACTGAGCCTGAGGCTTCACGAATGCTAGGGTTGAAGCTGACCTACGGTTACGACCCTAGCCTCTTTTTTTTGAGATAGGATTTCTCTGTGTAATAGGTCTGGCTGCCCTGGAACTTGTTTCGTAGACCAGGTTGGCTTTGAACTCCCAGAGGTCTGCTTGCCTATGCCTCCCAAGTGCTAGAATGTGCCACCACTGCCTGGCTAACCCTAGCCTCTTTTATTTACTTGGGAGGCAGAGGCAGGTGGATCTCTGAGTTCAAGGCCAGCCTGGTCTATGAAATGAGTTCCAGGATACCTAGGATTATACAGAAAAACTGTCTCAAAAAAAACAAAAACAAAAACAAAAATAAAAACAAAAAACAAAAAATAAATAAAAATAATTAAAAAAATTATTTTTATTTTACGTGTATGAGTGTTTTCATGCATGTATGTAAATACACCCAGTACATGTTGTGCCTGAAAAGGCCAGAAGGCATTGAATCTCCAAAAACTGGGGTTATAGACAATTGTCTGCAGCTACGTGGGTGCCAGGAACCAATCTTGGGTTCTCTGTAAAAACAACAAGTACTTGGTTTTGGTTTTTCAAGACAGTTTCTCTGTGTAACAGCTCTGGCTGTCCTGGAACTCACTCTGTAGACCAGGCTGGCCTGGAACTCATCACTCAGCATTGTTTAGTTTTTATTGTTAACTTGACACAATCCAGAGTGATCTGGGAAGAGGGGACCTCAATTGAAGAATTGCCTAAGGCAGAGCATTGTGCATACTGGGCAAACACTCTTAAAGGTTTATTTTTTTGTATATATGTTTGAGTCATTGTGAGTTTATGTGAATCATATGTTTACAGGAGCCCACGGAGACCAGAAGATGTCTGGGACTGGAGGAATTGGGGGTGCCTATGTGCCAAAGCATACATGTGAAGGTCAGAGGACAACTTTCAGGATGTGGTTCTCTCCTACCGTGTGGAGCCCAGGGGTTGAACTCAGGTTCTTAGGCTTGGCAACAGTACCTTTACCTGCTGCTCAGATAATTGTTATAGCTGGGCAGAGGTGGTGCACGCCTTTAATATCAGCACTCAAGAGGCAGAGACGGGAGGATCTCTGGGGATCTTAGAGGCCAGCCTGTCTATATAGTGAGTTCCATGACATCCAGGGCTACATTACATGGTGAGGACTTGTCTCAAGAAAGAAAGAAAGGGGCTGAAGAGATGGCTCAGCAGTTAAGAGCACTGACTGCTACTCCAGAGGACCTGAGTTCAAGTCCCAGCACCCACATGGCAGCTCACAGCTGTCTGTGACTCCAGTTCCAGTCCCATAAGCAAAACACCAATGTACATAAAATTAAAATAAAAAGAAAAGGAAGAAAGAAAAAGCTTTAGTCCCAGCACTTGGGAAGCAGAGCCAGGGGGATCTCTGTGAGTTCGAGGCCAGCCTGGTCTACAGAATGGGATTCAGGACAGGTACCAAAACTACACAGAGAAACCCTGTCTTGAAAAATAAAAAAAAAAAAGAAAGAAGAAAGAAAGAAAGGAGGGAGAGAGGGAGGGAGGGAGGAAGGAAGGAGAGAAAGAAAGAAAATTGCCCGGATCAGATTCACCTGTGAGCATGTCAGGGATATTTCTTTTTCTTTCCTTTCAACTTAACTTAAAAAAACTTTTACTACCTTACATGTATGGATGTTTTACCTGTATATCTAGGTCTGCACCTAGTGACCAGAGAGGCCAGAAGCCTAACAAATTATCTGGAATTGGAGTTATAAGCCACTGTGAGTTGTTATGCGGGTATTGAGAATCGAACCTGGGTGCTTCGGAAGAGCAGCCAGTGCTCTTCTTAACTAGCTGAACCACCTCTCCAGCCCCAGAACGTTCTCCTTTGCTAATTGATGATTGATGTCGCAGGGCCCAGCCCACTGTGGGTGGTACCATCCCTAGGCAGGTGGTCCTGGCCTGGATTAGAAATCTAGATAAACCTGAGCCTGCAAGCGGCATTCCTCCCGCGGCTCTACTTCCAAGCTCCGCGTTTGAGTTTCTGCCCTAACTTTCCTGGAAGAAGGATTGTGCCCTGGAAGTGTAAGATGAAATAAACCCTTTCCTCCCCTTAGTCATTTTTTGGTCCGTGTCCTCTTGAACACACAATGTCGCCTCAACTTCCAGAGTGCAGGAATTTTAGGCATGATTCTGAATTTTAGGCTCAGAAGTATCGTTTATAAATTGTATCAATCTACTTTTCTTCCCCCCCACCCCCCCATTTCCCTCCGACCAGCTGTCCCTGACCAGCTGCCCTCTCCTCTCCCCCCCCACCCCCAACCTCTCCAGTGGGCGAGGGGAAGAGTTCCCCTCTACCGCCCCTTCTACGGGGAGAAAGTTACTGCCCTACCCTGGCAGTTGGGGTGCTAACCCTGGAGTTGGTGCCCCTCCTGTTCGCTTTAGAGGCCTTCTCCAGCGGCCAAGTGGCCTGCTCTGTGTGCAGAGGCTTCCTGCAGCAGGAGCCCTGCGTGGGATCTCTCTGCATGCAGCTTAGCAATCTTGCTCTTTTTCCCTTCTACCCAGCGTCCGGACACTCGTTCTGGGGCCACACGGGAGCCTCGGGTCGCCCCGCTCCCTATAGTTTCCCCCCCTATCCGTGCAGGGCTGGAGGGTGGGGGTCCGGTCGGTCGGTCCGCGGGAGCACGGTGGGCTGGGCGGATTCCAGCCCGCGGTTGGGTCCTGAGCTGCGGAGACTCGCTCGCTGGGGGAGCGGGACCCGAGTTC